ACGTTGGAAACGAGAGAAAGGATAACGTTGGTGGGGTATCTTTGCTCAAGATGGGCTTCAATGCCGAGAGTATTTGTTGTATTCACCAGAATACAAGTGTGCTGTGGAGTGACAACGGATTCAATCACGGAGGCAAGATCGTAGACATCTGGCAGGGCTTTCACGCAGAGGATGACATAGTCGTAGGCATTTTCACGGGATGAAGCTTCTTCGGGAGCACGAACAACTAGAAAGCGGGACAGGTCAGCCGGGGCTCTGACCAGGGCTCAAGCCAAGTGGTGATATTAAAATCTCACCATGTCGGGGTTTGAATCGTTCGTTGCCGAATGCTTTTGATCTGCGGAGGGGATTAGCCAACTGGCTGTGACACAAGAACCTGGATACATACTTAAATGAGACACCGTATTGAGACACGGCGTCAAATCCAGATTTCCAGACTAGCGTAACGTCGCAGGAGGTTGTCGCCTGAAGTCGCCATGAGAGGAAGGCAGAGATCGCATTGCCACCGACTACACAGACCTTGATTAGATGACGAACCATCTTTTCGTGATACCCCAGACGTTAATATCTAGGTTGAAGTTGAACTCACCGGACAGAATGCGCAGACGTGGAGGAGGAGCCATCTCTCAGATCTGGAAGGAACTGGGCGGGAAAGTCCCAGGTCAAAAGGTACAAGTTCCCTATAACACGAGAAAACGAGAGAATGGAAGGAAAAAAGAGAGAGTGGGTGAAGGATAGGGAGGGAAGAGAAAATGGGGGACAAAAAAAAAAGGGAAGGAGAGTTGTAATCAGGAAGGATGAAATTCGAATGGAAGTTTAGACCCGGGGGGGCAAAGCAGGAAAAGACAGGGTTGTCCAAGTTTCTTTTTTGCCGTGTCAGTTATCTTCTCTCTATTTCTCTCTCTTGACTTCACGCTTTAGGACAAGAAAAAAAAAGAGAAGGTAAAAAACGATCGAATGCGATCGGTCAACAAAATATCTTTTTCTTTTTCTCCTTGATACTTGCAAGCCTTCAATGATCGTGGATCCCCCTCAGTCCGGAAACGGAAATCAAGGAGCGATAAGAATTATTTTGACGGAATAGAGATGGATGCAGATGTTCTTGATCTTATTGTCTTATTGATCTTGTTGATCTTTCTTCATGTTACTCTCTTTCCGTCTATTTTGGTCGATACACACTGTTGGGACCCATTCTACTATACAACAAAGAGTCTAGCCTTCATATCATCTGGCCATGCGGCTCTCCAATACACAGAACAATGAAGATTGGGATTTTTCTTATATAACTAGGTACTGTATAGTAAATATTTCAACATTCATGTAGTTAGATAAATCTGCAGTTCAATTATAGCAGTTATATTTATGATAAATGTATACAGTTGAGAGTTGGGTATGTACTCTGTACATATTGATCCTTGATAAGTCTGATGCTATATTTAACTTCCAAAGTTAATTTCTTTTTTTTTTTCGATACAGACCAATACTGTAATTTTCAAATTTGACTTTGCTGGCCCACAAACGTTCTCTTCGATCTGCTTCTGGCCTTAAATTTATTTTTTTTTCTTTTTTTTTTTCCTTCTCGCACATATGTGTTCTTTTTTGAAGTCTTTCGTTCTGGGGGATTATACTCGAACGACGCGTTGTATGCCGCGTCCCTGGTCTCGTCATCTACCTCCACTCTAAAAACCCACAGCCTATGTTGTATATACTCCGTATCTCGGAACCGACGTTAGGCATGGTACTCCGTAGATAATATGGAGACCTGTCAACGAAAGAATATCCTATAATCGGGAATCCCAAGTACTTTTGTTCCTGGACAAATTGTGGTCTTAATCTTCCAGTATAGTTCCCATTTACAAAATAAACAGCAACTTATATCTCCGGTTACTAAGATCAAAACAATGTATCGGGCACATTCTTTGAACCGGTCCAAGGGATAGGTCTGGTTCGGCTCCGAAATCCCATACATGGCATCAAGTGTGCATGTATATGGTACCTGAGTCGGTACCTGGGGTGGTTCACACCACATGCATATGAACGCATCAATTTTGTATCCTTGATCGACATTCAATTGATAACTAGACTGGTGTACCACAGAAAGTAGCCACCGGGCATTGTACATCGCATGTTGTACGACTTGGAACAACGGTAAGAGGGGTTGGATATCCCCTCTTCCTCCCCGCCGCGACATTCTCTTGAACCTTGGAAAGAATGTTGTATTTCTGGAGGTTATCGTGATACAAAAGAGTGAAAAAGGGTACCGACCCCGATACTGAGGTAAATATTTAGATCTTCGAATCTTTGGGTCATTTTGGACTCGTTCGAACTACCCAACTTGGGAGGGTAGCTCACCAATCCGGCATAAAAGACAGTCGGAGAGAATTACAAGGGATGTTCAAGATCAACCGCCCGCATGCCTTGGAAGGGGGAGGCGGTGTTGATAATCCCGGCATACCAAAGTAGTGATCGACACGCGTGCCGAAGCAATGATGCTTGCAGCTTGTCCGCATCAAGGGATCGATCCCAAGATTCTTTTTGATATCGGGGGATTTTTTTTTTCTGGTTCATTCAATCTGATAATAACATTAAAAAAAATAGTCCTGGTATTTTATGGCATGTTCAAAAGAGTATGAAACGCAACCAATGGCTGCAATAGCTGCAATAGCTGCAATGTGTCCCTACTGTTCCAGACCAACATAAAAGGGCTAGAATATGGATCAGTCACATCTCCTGTTGGCTGGGGTCTATCACTTGGAACCAGTCCAGATCTCTGGGGGAGTATGCAACGTAATAATACGGCAAATCTGCATGTGCACAAATAATACCCCGTTGTGCAGGTGGAACCACAATGATGACAATACATTCGACACCTCTCTTCTCTCGGAGCCGGGAATAGACGGAACAGACTAGATAGCATTGTACATTCTATGCTGTACGGAGTATTTCGCGCAAGATAGACACATTCAAACGCCGATATGTGGCCATGCCGACAGGTGGCAGGGGTACGAACCACGTTTGCGGAGACCCAGAAACAGATCTTCAATATCAGAGCATCATATATAACTTTGTTGCTCTCCCTCAGCCACAATCGATCTTGGCTTCGAATGATTTTATTTAGGGGAAAGCCACAGATGTCATGACATCGTAGCCTCGAATATCGTAATTTGGCCTTAAATTGGACTGGATACTTCGCATATACAACATATGTATACGGAGTATGAGTACCATATTACGTACCATGTTTACCATGTTTACCATTTTTTACCATTTTTTACCATATATTAATCAATCTCGAATGCAAGCCTCGTTCCACTGAAACCAATTTAATCTTACAGGGGCCCTGAGTGGCCCTTATGTTGTAGGTGCGGTTATGGTCGAATTTCCTCGGAACCTGGCGGATGTAAAATAAAAAAGGAGAGAAAAGTGTGATTGGAATTGTGAATCGTACAGAAAATACTCCGTACTAAGAGGGTCCCTCGATCGTATCAGTGCACAGTCATTGGCCTATCATAATTTCTGATCGACTTCGTCTCACGCTATTGCTCGTTGTGCCTACAACATAGTTGATTGGGTTAGCGTGGTTGAGATAAACGGAGCTATGTATTTCGTACTACGAAGTCGAATAATGTGGATATTGTAGCTACTTCGTATGTGTTCCGTGCATTGTAGCTATGTACTTCGTACTTGGTTACGAATATGAAGCATTTTCAAACCATGGGCGAACGCCGCAGACTCTGCACATCTTCGTATGAGATAGAGCCATTCACAACAGCCGACACTAGAACGAGACAGCCCCCTGGTGAACAGTGGAGTGAAAATCTGAGACAAGGTTTGGAGGGTGTTTGGCCTGTCTCTCTGCCTTATTTTCTTAATGCGCTACCTAGTTAGTGCCTTTCCATCTTCTGGTGCTTTGGGCTAAGCCACTTTTTGGGGTTTGACTTGGATTTTCGCCTCGAACAGGGTAATGCATTAGGTAACTGTATTTTATATTTTAGGTCTTCTTTTATTTTCTATGCTTTATTTATGCTTGATAACTTTCTTTCGACCTAGGGTGGTTTCGAGGTGTGCAGTCCACGGCCATATATATATCTCCTAGATATATATACACTGCACTGTAATCCAAAGTAGGAACTTTTAATTATTGACAATCATATGGGATGATCTATTTGCATTCATATCTTGCTACATATGTTTTCGCCCCTCGCTCCCTGCCCCCTCCCAATATCCTTGTGGTGCGTTCAGCTTGACAGTTGTCATGATTTCCCTGCAGCATGCAGGGGAAACTGTTATTTTGTAAATTTATGACCAGCTGATACAGATACTGAGCTTATTGCAAATCAAACAGCCTTATATACCTTGGGTGGTCGTATTTAATTTGAATCGGCAGATATCCTAAGCATTAAGCACACATATTTTGTCCTGGTTGACATGTGCTTCGAATCTGTCAAAATCATATCACTGCTACAAGGATCGGATAAAGGATGATCAAAGTTGCTACGAAGGATCTTTCCAAGTAAGATTGGAACTCGGACCAGGGCCTACATCCACCCAGCTCGTAGATACATTGCGTGGCGGGGATTTATTCTCGGGCTCCTAGAGTTACAGGTGGACCGGCTCCGACGGATATGGGCAAACCATGAGGAGAACAGATGATTGGAGATTGAGTTCCGGTGTCTATATCCACTCTGGCTGGATCGGACTTGGTAGGATCTTTGGGTCGTCTGGTTGAAACCATGACCGCAGGGCGGTGCATATTTCTATCTGATTGTCTTCGGGTTTGACTTGTCTCGCAGACGTCGATAACTATGACATCGCAACTCCACATTGAGATTCCAAGATTCCCATCAGGATACGGTCATGATACGTTTGAACAGTCGTGCGGGGCTAACCCATTCTTGCTTCCATTTCTGTTTTCGAATACATGGAAGGGTTGTGCCTCACTTCAATGCCAGGGGAGGGCAGAGGCAGCGCCCAACGGCGGAGAAAAACATATCAAAACCCGAGCTAGTGCGCCATAACAATTGAAAAGAGGAAAAGAAATTTCAAATCAACAAAGTTTTACACCTAGACATGCCTAAGCCATGTAGGTGGTGGAGTCAACACCAGCCTCGGGGTACTCACTGCGTACATGGTTAGTATTTTGGCAAAGGGCATTGTAATTTCGAATCGAAGGAAACTTACGGGAGGGCAACCTCAAAGCGCTTCTCAATCTCCTTGAGGACCTTCTCGTCATCCTCGTTGCTGACGAAGGAGATAGAAAGACCCTTGGTACCGAAACGACCGGCACGACCAACACGGTGCAGGTAAGAGTCAGCGTCGGCAGGGAGATCGTAGTTGATGGCGAGGTTGATGCGCTCGATATCAATACCACGGCCGAAGACATCAGTGGCAACACAGATGCGCTTGTTGAACTCCTTGAACTCCTTGTAGCGCTTGATACTAGATGGAGGTCAGCAAATTGCCCCAGCCAATGCCAAACTCGGATAGACTTACCGCTCCTCCTGGCTGACACCAGAGTGAACTGCGATACTGGGGAAGTTGCACTCGCGCAACAGCTTGTCTAGCTCGTTGGCACGTTGGGTGCTCTTGACGAAGATGATGACCTGATTGAACTCGAGGTTGTCCAAAAGCTCATTCAGCTTGCGGTTCTTCTCCTTCTCGTCGAGCTTGATGTAGTACTGTTGCAAGCCGTGGAGGGTGAGCTTGGTATCATCATCGACATAGACCTCCAGCGGGTTGCGCATGAACTTCTTGCAGATGGGACGAATCTCCTGGGAGAGGGTGGCACTGAACATCATGACCTGCTTGTCGGCGGGAGTTGCACGGAAAATTTCCTGGACATCACGGCGCATGTCTGAGGGGAGGTGTTAGTGGGAAGTGATAATCGAGTCGTATCTCGCAGGCACGTACCAATTTGGTCAAGCATCTTGTCACACTCGTCGAGAACAAAGGCCTTCACGTTGCGCAGGGACAATTTCTTGTCACGGACCAGCGCGTTAAGACGACCGGGAGTGGCAACAACAATGTTGGGGTGGGTCTCTTTGTTGGACAGGATTTCGACATCCTTCTGGATCGGGGTACCACCGTAGAAGACCGCGGTCTTAACGTCGGGCAAGTACTTCGAGAAACGGGCGTACTCGTTCTTGATCTGATAAGCAAGCTCACGGGTGTGGCACATAACCAGGATCTGGCACTCGCCAGGAACGGGCTCCAATTGATGAAGGGTGGTGAGAACGAAGACCGCGGTCTTACCGAGACCGGACTTGGCCTGGCAAAGAACATCGACGTTCAAAATGGAAGTCGGAATGCAAACTTGCTGGACTGTTGGAAGGCGGAGCCGAAGTTAGATTGGGTTCGACGAAAGAAGAAGCAAAAAAAAAATCCGTCTCGCAATGTCCATCCATCCCCCAACAACATCAAATTGATGCATGGGCAGTCATCTTCCACCGCTTGATCAAACCACCATGACTGCACGTCACATTCAAAGCCATGCTTTTTGTGGATATCTTATCATATTCTGCAGACAACATGAGGTGCGCCTCACAAGGAGAAAAACGTGATAGATATCACAGTCTTCCACCGCGTGCGCCAATCTCCACGGAGTACGTGGGTGTTGGGAACGGGGGCCCAGGCTGAGCGCAAGAGCGCCATAGGACCAAACGCGTATATACTGTAAAAAGATATTGTCCTTTTCAGGAGCAATAATCCTCATGCCGTCTGCAGATTCGAAACACGACTGATTGCCAAATACCGACGGAAGAATCTTCCCGCGAGGATGGACGGACGTTGGAGATTGGACAAATGGAGGAACGCTTGTGGGAATAATGAGTTAGACTAACCCTCCGATGGATGTTCGAAGCCGCAGTCGGTGATGGCGCGCAGAAGTTCACCCTTCAGCAGGAAGTCGCGGAAACCGGTGGAGTGGATACCGACGTAGCTGCCCTTCTTGTCGGGACGGCCGCCGGTTACAGTCAAGTCACCCTGCTTGTCGGCATCGCCATTGGTGGCTGCAGGCGCAGCAGTGGTGGCTGGTGCTGTGGTGGTCTGAAGCTCCTCATCAGAGTAGTCGATAAGATCTTCCTCGTGAGACATGGCGACGTAAATAGGTGAGTTTTGAGGGGAAGAGGTAAAAGTATTGGGAGAGAGATGATGATGATGTGGGGTTGAAGTGAAAAGAAGACAAGGGTAGTAAGGAGAAAAGTATGGACCGCGGGAATGTGGCAGGTCTCGATAGACAAAGGTGTAGGGGAAGAAGTCAAGGCGGTAGGACGAAGACCTCACCAAGGGAAAATCACGTGATTATTCAGCCTCACCGCTTTTGGTTTAGCGTCAATCGGGAAGCTTTTCTCGAATTGCAGGTTGCAGCAAACAACCTTCAGATCCACTTGCTTGTTGATCTGTCGAATTTTCGAGAATGGCAAAAGCCAAAGGAAAGAAGGAAGCCAAAAACTCCAAGAACTCACAGAGCCATATTCGAGCACGGCTAGATTACCTACACCAAGCCGCCGCATATTTCCAGAGCAAATCTACACTCGTCAAGACCGCCGAAGTTCACAACAATGAACACACCTCAGTTGCTGGTCATGTTGATCCAGAGGACAATGGCCACACAGTAGATACGCAACAACAAGTCTGCTCTGTGAATCAAAAGAAGACTCAAGAGCCATCAAGAAACCTCTCAAGGGTATGTGTATCACAACTACGTGCCGTTGCAATGAAGACGCAAATTCGGCTGCCGGTCACACTGAAGAGATCAGTTTGTAAGCGCTGTGACACGATCCTGATTCCGGGAGTGACTTGTTCGCATGAAACCAAAAATGCAAGTCGCGGCGGCAAGAAGCCATGGGCCAATGTACTGGTCGTCCGGTGCCTCTCATGCGGGACTGAAAAGCGATTTCCTCAGACGGAGAAACGTGGGAAAAAGCTCGTTGAGCGCCGCAAGGGGAAAGACTCGGCCTTGCTACTTGATATGAATGCACTAGAAATGGATACCTCAGCGGCGTCGCAAGGAGAAACAGTCCAATTATGTGAAGAGAATGTGCCAATGTTGGATGCTGCAGATGTCCCAGTGACGTGAATCGCACCCGCCAAATTCATCTATTACGCGTGGGGTCACGTTCCTATGTTGAACCTTACACCCTGCGCATTCCCCCATGTCCCGCAGAACACGAAACTGGTGCGGTCGCACTTTCAAACTGCGCGCTTCCACAGGCCAGTGCACACGCGTTTGCCATATCCACGACGTGATCAAGGCGCCCTAGTGAAGAGCCTGTCGACCGCGCTTTTAGTGGGCTTTTACAATGAGATATCAGCTACAATGACCAGGGGTGTCCATCAAATCAGAGCAATTATGTCCACCCTCATCGCCGGAAGAAGTCTCAGACCCCGTGAGTAGCCTCAATATATCCTCAGCGACCGCACCCACAAGGCCGACATGCATGATATTCAAATCCAGCCCCTGCCTGGTATTTCAAGGTTTGTCAACCTTGGGGGACCAAATTCAATGCGGCGCACGATTCAATCATTTTGAAGAAACTGTTCCCAATTGTATTGCAGAACACCATAAGCCAAGCTATAACCATCCCAACGATGGACATGGGCCAATATCAACGCTAAAAAAAAGAAGAAAAAAAAAAGAAAACCCAGAGCAATGTACACGCAACATGCAGAGAGGGGAATCAAAACAGGGGAAATAGCAGAAGCATCAAATCAAAAAAGAAGATACAAAGACGGGTCGTGTTTATGCGCTTCAAATCACATCAAAAATCCTTCATGATAGTCATCAAATCTCATGGATTTCCAGTACCGGGTGGGAACCGAGTTGCCATGGCCCTCGTGGGTGGAGCTCAAGCAGTCGTGGAAATACCGCAGTCCTTCCGAGGTCGCATGCTCAACACCGGTGTCTCGCCTCGATCGCGCCGCGAGGCATGCAGTTCTTACCGCCAATTGTGTCATAAAGCAGATCTCCAGGCCAATGAAATGTGACATACATGAATACGGTGGCTGACGCGCATTCAAAGAAAAGGGTCCGTGAGGACACATTCGATATCTAGTTTTTTTGTTTGTTTTTGTTCTGTCGGCTTTGGTATGTTCTGGTTTGGGTACTTGTGTGGAGAAATATAGGTGTGCATCGGTCGAACCATCCAGTGGTCGAGTAAAAGTGAGATGTGCAAAACGCATGACCGTAAACGGTCTTTCGGGGCGCTTGAAGACAGGTGTGGATTTGGAAGTATATGGTGGGGTTGTATATGGGAAGGTATCATCGTCGGCGCCGAGAACTCTGGTCAATGCGGTGGTCTAGGTTCTCGATTCGGCCACGGAATGACCTGACGATATCGCGGATATGAGCGATCTTCGCCAAGTCATTGTCCAACTCGTCGATAGAAGCCAGGATTTCACGGGTGCGGGCGATTTCGGCATCGGCATTGCGAATGACGTTTCCCGCGCGGTCGTAGGTGTTTTGGATGGAGCGCTGCATTTGATCCTCGAGCTAGCAAGGATGTCTCATGTTAGAACTAAAACAACGAAATGTGATTTCCCGATAGTGTGGACATGCGGCCAAGAACCGCTGGGGAAACATACATATTCGATCCGCTGACTGATCTGAGCCTGCAAGCTGTCTAGCTGGTGCGATAGTGCGCGGAGGCTCATAGGGTCCAGCAGCAAACGGCCCTGGCTGCTGGCAGCGCTGGTTGCCCGCGAGCTGGAATTGCTGGTTCTTCCGGTGCCTCTGCCCCTGGCCACCCCATTGCCAGCATGGCCGCCCTGCAAGGCAATTTGCTGTTGCTGTCGGAGGATCTGGATCTCGGAGGAGGTGAGGCCAAGCGAAGTGTCGGGAATCGAGGCTGAGACGGACATTTGGTCCCGGCAGAGACATGCTCCGACCGCGACAGTCTACGAGGCGCCGATCAAACTCGATGTGAGACCAAACGGACCACAGGTCATGATGGAGGATGGAAGGTGTGGAGAGGAAAGGTTGCGATATACTCCAGTCAGATTGGGAAATGCGACTATTGAAGGTTAAAGAGGGGAGGGGAGCTTCTTTTTTTTCCCTCACGAGGAGAAATCAAAAAGGAAAAAGAGGCGGAAAAAGAAGGCGTGAGCCACTGAGAGTTTGGCGGCAACTAAACAGCGCGTGGCCCCAGGGAAGCCAGTACACTCCCCGATGAAGAGGCTAGTGAGATTTCTCTTTTATATATTCTGGAGCACAGGCTCAGGCGGAAATATGATACCTCGGACCTCCCATAAAGAGGGGCTTGAAGATGGAACGAAAATCCCCCAAAAAAGCAATATTCAGTGGGTGATGTATTTCTTGTTTTGATGTTTTAGAGGCTTCATTCCTTAAATTTTTTTGGGTTTCGTCCTTAAGTACTTCTTCAATGGTTTTTTTTTCATATTGGATATTGCGAAGCTACCTAGGTCGATGCTGGGCTCTGCACCTATCTCGATGAGGGAGAATCAAGAGGCTCTGCAGTATGCGTACTAGAAATATAAGAGAATCAAGAGCAATAGTGAATAGTATACATGTATATGCAATGATAATATTAATCATATTAAAGCTCTCCGAAATATACCTAGGTATAAATCAACTTAACTAGATGTACTCCGTACTATGTACAATGTCGTAGTTCCAATTCCGAACCATGGTAGCTCCCTCTCCACTCTTCCACACTTTTCTCTACGGAGAACGGCAGTCACCAGGTGAAACTTAACTTTGATTGGGCTCATGTATACACCGCCCTTCTCTCCGCTTTTACCATCTATATGCGACTGAAGTGGTTTTTTTGCCAGCCAAAAATATCGAGGGCTTAAACCTTGGAACTCTGCCGTCGATGTACCGCTCTGTACTTCAATTCCAACTTCAACTTCGACCTCAACTTCTTTACTCAGCCGCTACTATCACATCCAACCTTACCTGACTATATTGTGAGACTGAAACCGGCAATTTTACCTGACACACCTCGCATTCGGCCTATGAGCGTCACCCAATCCCAATCCCGGATACCTGCAGTCTCGACCTGACGGCCCGACGCGATCAACCCAGTCGAGGCGACCTAACGCACTACTTACCTGTTATTCCGTGAGACACACAACCTAGCTATCCTCATTGCACGCTTTGTTTTCTAGTCTGCGCCTTGCATTCTTGTTTCCAACCATATCCTTCACGTGCGGCAATTTCTACAGAACCCGGACGTTTGTGCCGGTACCTAATTTACGATCTCTGGAATTAATTCGACAAGTGCCCGAGGGATTTATTACCGGCTTTCGCAGCTAGGTTACGCCACACCGATAATTACGAACCACCCACACACCAACCCCAACACCGACACGACGTCATGGCAAAAGACAAAGAGCGCTCGGTCAACCCTGCCGCAGCGCAGCGGAAACTTGACAAACAAAAAGAGTTGAAGAAAGGCAAATCAGAGGCATTGGCGCGCCGGAACGAGAAACTTGCGCGCCGCAACCCAGATCGAATTCAGCGCCAGATCAACAGCTTCAAAGAAGCCGAGGAATCAGGACAACAACTACGGCCGCGAGATAAGGAGCTCCTTGAAGCGCTGGAGAAGGATTTGAGAGGCGTTTTGAAGGCTCGTGAAGCTCTTGGCGACAAGGCACCCCGGTTCGATCACGGCGGCAGAGGAGGCCATCACCCTGATGGTACTAGACGAGGTGGTGGCGATGGTGTGCTTGGGAAGCGAAGGCGAGGCTCGGATGAAACACGAATGCCTCGCGACAGTGACAGCAGCGACACGGATGAGGATGTACGAAGGATACCCATGCCACGGGATACACCGCCACCGATTCCGCGCCAGCACCAGCGCAGACGGGATGTAAATGTGCCTTCAGAACAGAACGTTGAGCGCAGTGGTCCTCACCCGCTGCCATCTCGTCCAACGGCGGTTCCAGCGGCCAGGACAGTTTACGAGGCGAAGCCTCAAATTCGGGACCTGCGGCAGGAGGCAACTAAGAAGTTCGTTCCGGCTGCAGTCAGGATGAAACAGCAGTCAATTAAGGGACAGGGAAAGTTGTTGGAACCGGAAGAGATGGACAAGCTTGAGAAAGCTGGGTATAATGCCGGCCCCGCCCCGGAA